ACTGGCCTATGAAACTCAGACTTACTTTTGATTAGCTCTTTTCCTACTTGTCAAGTGTTTGGATAATTGTATCTGTTGACCATCAATCTTGTTCCCCCTCTTGCAGGTTTCTGAAGAATATAGGCTGGTTCCGGACACACTTTACCTGACTGTACATCTCATTGATAGGTTCCTCTCTGAGAATTACATTGAAAAACAAAAGCTGCAGCTGCTCGGAGTTACCTGCATGCTAATTGCTTCGTAAGTAATTCTCGTTTGTGACAATCATATCAAGGATGACCATTGACCAGTCATGAAGGCCTTTGCACTTCCTTTATTCATGTTTTCCTGTTGAATATTTTCTTAATGTAGTCTAGTAATGATTGGTAGATTTTAAGGTTATAATGTAAACTAAAATGTTTTTACATATTTGAATTTGTAGATCACATAGATATCCCTATATTTTCCATGGGAGCTTGTGGAAAATAGAGCCTTCTAACTTAGTTCTTTTATTCTTTTAACTTGTATGTGCATGTGCTTTACAATAAGGTGATCAGCTCTTCCGAATTTCAAGAAATTCATTATAGCTTCAGAAAAGAGAAACTAGCTGAACTTCCATCTGCATTTTTTCATTGGATTTTTTCTGCAGAGTATAATCTTTTATCTTGTTTTTGTGCTTCCAGCAAATATGAAGAAATTTGTGCCCCTCGTGTGGAAGAATTTTGCTTTATTACAGACAACACTTACTCAAAAGAAGAGGTATGCTCATTCAAATGCTGATCTATTTTTAGATTTCTTTATCATTATGGAGAATGATGTACATGAAGATGGGCTATGCAATAAAGGCAGTTAAATAACCTTAGTTTTGATTAATGTAAGAGGCATGTGTCAGTCTTTTTTTTTGTTTTTGTTTTTTGTTTTTGTTTATTTGAGTTTATTTTCCTGTTTGCATAGGTCATTAGTAACCATCTCCAATGTTTGGTTACTCAATGTTGGGCTCTCATGTTATGTCATCCTGCTCCTGATGTCCATCACTGGGCGTCCTGGGTGTGTTAGAGGCCCATATTGGTTGAGAGTATAGGTTGTAGCTTCTTAATACAGTTTTGACAATCCTCAACTCATGAGCTAGTTCTTGGGGTTAAGCCCTAGGTCCGATATATTATTCTGTATCGTTATGAATCCAACTATTCTTTCAGAATTTGTCCTGGTAAATCAATAATAGTAAAAAACATGCTCCTTCATACTCCAACGCTAGTTCTTTTGACTGCCATTCCAGCAAAGTCGCTCATCCTACAATTTTTTCTTTTGCTGGTTTGAACTAAATTGACTAGCATATTCTGCTTATCTTCTGTTAGACGAACTAGCTAGATTGTGTCATCTAGCTTTCCTCTTTTTTTTTTGATGATATATTCGATGCATAGTTGTTCCTACTTGAGCAATTATCTGAGCATTTTCCAGAATGTTTTTCTCTGTCTTCTATGATATGACTTAAAGTTCCTTCTGGATGTGAAAAGCCTAATATATCGCATGTCAGGTAGTAAGAATGGAAAGTCTAGTATTGAATTTTTTGGGCTTTCAACTTGCTGCTCCGACCACTAAAAAGTTCCTGAGGTACCTCCTACAGCTAGCATTATAAGCAAATTTTACTCATGTTACTTGTGAGAGCAGGCTCCTTATTTGTGCCATTGTCCTTTGTTTTTAGGAGATTTGTTCAAGCAGCACAAGCTTCATATGAGGTAGATGAGATAGCATTCTTGCTTTGGTTGAGTCCTAGAAAATGATGCTTATATGACCAAGTAAAAATTGCTCCAACCTGCAGGTTCCCTCTGTTGAACTGGAATTCATGGCAAACTATTTAGCAGAGCTAACACTTGTTGACTATAGTTTTCTTAAGTTTCTTCCGTCTATCACTGCTGCATCGGCTGTATTTCTAGCCAAATGGACACTTGATCAATCTAACCACCCATGGGTATGCAACTTTTTTGCTCCTTTGACCCTATCTGCCCTTCTCTTTGCAATTGTAATGCAACCACGAAATGACTTTGGAAATGGTTTGCAGAATCCAACTTTGGAGCACTACACTAGTTATACAGCGCTAGAGCTGAAAACCACAGTTCTTTTGCTGCAAGATTTACAGCTGAACACCAGCGGAAGCACCCTGAATGCCATTCGTGAAAAGTATAGACAACCAAAGGTAAGTAACTGTATCAGAACCTTATTTATTCGTTTTGCTAATCTAGGATATGCAAAGATGTTCAGACAAATGGTGGAACAAAAATGTCCACTTTTTCAGCTTCAAACATAATAGAACTTCATTCTTTTCTCAATGAGTATGAGTTTAAAGAAAGCATCAACAATTCGTTTATTGTAATAAAAATACATATGATACACCTCTTTTTTGTACATTCCACATATATCAGCTGTTTATCATTTTAGTGTAATGAAGCTTTCATTTGTATTTCAGTTCAAGTCCGTGGCAACTTTATCATCTCCGGAACCAGTCCAATCACTGTTCTAAGAACTGCTGAAATTAACTCCAGTTGGCCAGTTCAAGTTTAGCATATCCATTGTTGCTTTCTCATGCGAAAAGACATTAATCTTTAACATACAATAAACTATCATTCCTGGAAAGGGACTCATTCTTCTGTTCATTCCTCCGTCAACTTTCAACCAGTATGTATCGTCCTACCATGTTCGTGCACTAGCAGACTGCAGGTGCTCCAGAAACATGGAGACTTCAATGAAGTGAAGGCAGTAAGTTAAAAGAAATGGCAATTGTAAGAAGTAACTTAACAGCATTTCAGGTAGCTACTTGCTATCATGTATTTGGAGCTGTTTGAAAGCTCTTGTTGTTAAATGGTTCCAACTATGACATTTCTATTCTTTCGGCTTAATAAATCCGTTTTCGTTCTAGATACAAGTTTTATTTTTGTTAACGTGGCTGTTAGGTGTTTATGGGTAGTTTGCAATGGTGGTGGGGTTGGTGGTGCGTTGGGGGTTTTAAAACTGCATGATTGGACCCTTTCGAGCAAACAAGAGTGTGAATCCTGAGGGGCATTGGTTTGCTGACAAAGTTATGCAGAGATTATAGTGCATGGCATGCAATACAAGGGTTAATAAGCACGGATTATTTAGCGCATATGCTTTTCTAATGAATGTTTAGTTCATTTAGAGCGCAGCCCGTGATTTAGCATGGTTGGGCTAGAATTTTCGGAACCAATTTAAAAAGGAGGCTTTTAAGCCCGGCCCGAGTAAGCATGTGGCCCGTGAGACTTGACTGTGGCTAGGCTGGGCCGGCCCATAGGCCTAATAAAATATTTATTTAAAATATATAAAAAATAAAAAGTATACTGTCTCTAGAGATGGAAAATCAGAATTGGATCTTTACTAAGAGGAACCAAAACTTGATTTTGAGAAGTTTAAGAGATGGATGTTGTCACGTATTGGAAGGACCATTCTAGAAAATATCTCGACCTTTCAGTGATGGCGCGTGAAGTACTTGGTATTCCTATTACCATTGTAGCATCGGAATCAGCATTTAGCATTGGTAATGTGTTCTTACAAAGTACAGAAGTTGCATTTATTATGAAAATGTCCAAACACTTGTTACTACTCAAAATTGGCTGCACAACTTTTCCCAAACTTAAACTGATAATATTTTTTTATGTGAATTTGAATATTATTAGTTTTTAAAATTTAATTATTCTTAAGATTTAACTAATTAATATTTCATATGAATTGTAGATGTAGATGAAAGTGAAGGTGTTAAGATAACCTTGTCACAAGCGGATTCAAATGTGTTTGATGAAGATGATGTGTTGGGTATCTCACAAGTGTAGATGAAAGTGAAGATGTTAAGATAACCTTGTTATAAGTGGATTCAAATGTGTTTGATGAAGGTGATGTGTTAGATATCTCATAAGCGTCATGGACGTTCTCTTGAATAGTTTGTTTTGAGTTTTGACTTTTAGTGAATGAAATAGTCTTGTCTTTTACTTTTTTTAGTGTTTATTGTGATATATTGGAACACTATAAAAAGTTACTAAGTTTTGCAAAAAATTTCCAATAAGATATTTTACAACTTTTAAATAATCATCTTTTTTTAGGTCAGAACTTAAAGAAAAAATATAAAATTATATTTTTAAAACTGATGGGCCGACCCGTGGAGGCCTGAGGCCCATATAGGGCTGGGGTGGGCTGACCATTATAAGGCCCATCAGAATGGTGGGCTAGCCCAGCTCAGCCCGTCAATTACTAAAGCCCGACCCGGCCCATATTGAACATCTCTAAGTTCATTGCAATAAATATTGAATATACATTACATATAATATAAAAGTTGACAATTATACCCTTGAACTCACTGCAAATAAAAAAATAGAAAGACAAAATGAAGGTTATTTTGGTTGTTTAGGTGTTTTATTCTTGTAAAACTAATCCATGTAGAAGTTGTCTCATGTTGGAGCCGGTGTAAATTATATCAGAACTGCAGTATCAAGTAATATTGGTATTATTTATACAGAAAATGAGATGCCTAGTGTAAAATGTGAAAAAAGAAAAAGCATTCTTTCTGTTTTTAGTAGTGAAAGAAGAACTTTCTTTTCGATGTCATTATCGTGGTTGTGGATTATGGTGGTATTCTTCTATGCTATTGTTGAAAGTTCAAATTTGTTTTGCTGTAAACTACTCCTTTACAACACAGAATAGTATAAAGAGGACAAGCATGGTGTCATTTCTGCTTTGTTTTTTTCTTTAATAAAAGGTCTGGAAACCCAATTGCAGCAGCTTCTTTTCTTTGTCTTTCTATTCTTGTAATTTATCCAATTCTTATCTATCACTACGACCATTTTTAAGATGCAAACTTAGTACAAATCTATTGTTGGGGGCAAAATAAAAAGGTAGTAAATATTAGAAGCTTCAAAAATATACAAATGAGTCAATCTTTTTGGTAAGAACAAAAGAAAAAGAAATGGTGTCAAACAAATTTCTGACATTGGGATTTAAATAGGCTACAATCAGGCCACTTTAAGAGAAACCTCTCAATTTTTCTTTTCTTCTAATCCATAGTAAAATGATATGAACATACTCATCCAACTAGCAAAGCTGAACAATGAAGAAGCCAGGCAAGAAGGTGATGAAAATATCAGCCAAATTAGATTAAAAAAAATAGGCCATGACAAAATGTTCAAAAAGGAAAATAAAGAAACAGATGTTAGTTAGCCCACTACCAAGCCCCCTTCCCGTGCTCCTTCGGGGAAGAAATTTGATGAAACAAACACAGTTGTAGTACTAAGTTACAACAGTTAAGGCTATCATCGGAGTGATCTTCAAAAACCTTCTGCACCAATCAATAGCCATTTCCCATCCTATGATGCCATTCTGGTTTCCCCGTCACTCCAAAACTGAGAGGAACATACACCGAGTAACATGGGGACAACAATAGAGTGACGTGCCTCTTAGCAAGTGATTGAAGTTGCTAAAGGCATTACTAGAACACCGATGTTTCCAGCTATAGGTGGACGTAAACTTGCTGCAATCTCCAACTGTTCCCATGCTTCCTTCCGTTTTTCAGCTTCCAAGTTTATTTTTTCCTGTTCTTCCTTGTAGTGAGAATGGCAAGCCATGAAAACCACATCATCCATTTCCGAGAACATCTTTCTTACATTTAGACTCAAGTTCTGCACAGCCTGGTTCCAGTGGTTCTGAGCATTGTTTTCCACAGCTGGGAATATAATGGGGAGAATCACATGCCGGTTATGTGCAATCAGATTGATAATTTGGTCATTATTCCAAAGGAACAGAGCTCTTTCAGCTACCTGGACAATAAAGGTTCAGTTATTAGGATGACAAACAAGCGGCTTTGAATTTCCAGAAGTGGTATAGTAGAAACCTTTTAGGAAATGCAATTACGTCAGAGAGAGAGAGAGAGAGAGAGAGAGAGAGAGAGAGAGGGAGAGTAAGAAAATAGCCAAGGAAATTGAGACATATTAACATCATGGCTGTTAAGCATCACAACATGGACTAACAGATAATACTGAGCTGATGCAACATCAAAAAACTCATCAAACACGGCAACCTTTCCAACAGAAGGGAATTCAATATACAGGCCTGAGGTGTATACCCATCACACCACCAGAGATTTTAAGCGAAAATTCAAAAGTGAAGAGCGAAGCGAGAAAAAAGATAAAGGTTTTCAGAAATAAACCAACAACTAATTAAATTTTCTTTTGACCAATTAATCTTTTTAATTCTTCTGTCTCCCTTCCCCTCCACCACAATCCACCCACCCACCCCCAACCACCCTCCAAATATGACGTGGCGTCACTCAAGTGCAATGAATAATCTAGGTACCAAAACTGGTCCAGAATTTCTAGGTTCTGTTAAATTAAATCCATAAAAGATCCAATTAAGTGTTCAGCTGGTCCCAGCCTCTGGAATTCCAATCTTTTAGTCTAAGAATGACTACAGATAAAAGGGCCACTTCAAACATCATCTCTTTCTTCTTACTGACAAGTTCTCTCGTTAAATTTTTTAACCTGATCCATAAAAATGCCCTTGCAAATAATAATAGAGTTTCTTCTTCAGCACTCTTCTATTTACTATCGGCAGTGGTGAAGCCAGAAATTTTCCTCACGGGTGTTCAAACTTAAAAGAGGTGAAAAAAATTTCCCCCACGCAGTGTAATTCAACGAAGGATGGTCGATTGACCAGCCTTTAAGACATGTAGCTTCGCCCCTGACTATCACTCCTTTGAAACCACTTGTTAGTTCATTTAACAAGACTGCTGTTTCAAGTAGCCTAGAAAGACAAAAACTCATGAATACTTTCTTGGAGTTGGAACAAATCCTTCTGGCTCCGTAGATCTTAAGCTTTCAAATTATTACTCAAACCATCTCAAATTAAACGAAAAAACCCAGCCTGCGATCTAGAAATCTATTAGAGGAAGTTGAGATGTCCGTATGGAATTTTCTCATGTCGCAAATCCTCACAACTAAAAAATGCATGTAAATCTGGAAGGATCCTGTCAAACAACTGGATGAAGAATAAATCAATCAATCAACTGCATTTCCATCCCAGTTTAGTTGGGATCACTGTAGGAATCCTCTGTATACATTAGAAAGAGAATTCTTTTCACAATATTTGCTAATAGATCCTTGAATGGACCATATCTGACCGACTATTCAGAAACAATAAACAAAGGTAAAGACATGATTTAGTAGACACACTTACACATACATGTCTAGCGACATAATTGTTACCTGAAAATGGCAACTATTGATGCAGCAACCAATCCGCCAGAATAAAGGAACCATCAATCTTTGGAACTCAGCCATGTTAATAACTTCCAAAATTTCTTCCAACTCACTCAAAAACATTACCTCCTTTTGGGTATTTGTGATTGGCCAGTACTTCAACAAGCCCCTGATTACAGTGCTAGCCAACTTGGGATCCTTCTCTATAAACTGCATAACACAATATGATAACTGCTGAAAATAAACACCCAACGATTTCGGCTTGTGTAAAGGAATCAAAGCCCTTGACAAAAAGATCTTATGCTCCTCTTTCAATGGCAGAGCGAACCCTGTAATCACACTACCAAATATCTCCAACAGTTCAGCAATCCCATTATGTTTCTCAGTCTCAAATACAAATCTATAGAACAAATTGCTTATACTCTTCCTTATAAAGGGCCTGTGGACCATGAACTTGCCATAAATCCTATGCAAGATAGCTTTCAAACAGTCTCTTTCCCTTGGATCTTCAGAATCAAACAAGTCAAGCAATTTCAATATGAAGTGATGGTTTATATACTTTTTTGCAACCTTAGCTTCTAGAGAAGAAGATGTTACAAATTTAAGCAATAGATCATACACAATCTGCAAGTGAGGCCAAGCAGGGTCAAAAGTAGGCTCATCATCATCATTTTCACTGGCGTGGGAATTGCTAGACCGATAATTAGGAGGGAAAACCCGAAACAAATTAACAGCACAAGTTTTACACATTGCAAGAATTGCAGGTTCTGAAAATTTGGGTGGATTAGAAGATACAAAATCCAAAAGCTCAAACAATGTGGCTCTTTTAAGTTCCTTTTCTGCTACATTCTTAGTTGGGTCCCTGAAATCAAAGTCTACACAACAGAGGCTTAACTTACTGATAAAAAGATTCATTTTTTCAGAGCTGGGCACATCTTTGAAGGAAATTAAAGGCTCAATCCCTGCAATCACACTTGCTGGGAACACAACCGAAGAAGTCCTCCTTAGAGCACTACTATTAGGCCTTCCAGAACCCAAATTCGGGCTTGCATTCGGGCCGAGTGGGCCCGAATTGCCTCTTGCTGAATCTACTGACTCAGATTTCAGTGCTTTCTTAGGAAGCTTACTCAGGAAATGCTTCCACATGTTGATTTTCACAATCTATAACACAACAATAGACTCTAAGAGATACAGAGGCGGGGAAAACACACTCAAATCAAGATATTACTGGTAAAGGGAAACAACCCTAAAGTTGTACCATGTCTAGTACAGGACCAAGATCTAAGCCAAAACCCCATTGACCAAAAAATCTGCAAACTTTGAGCTATATAACGAAAAGGGGTACTATATTCTTCAGCAAGAAGGAAGAAAAATCAAATCTTTCCTCAAAATGACCAAAAGGGTATTCAGATCTTGATTACAAAGAGGCAAAGAAGGTTGTAGAAAATGCAAGAATGATGTAAAGCTGAAACCTTTTTGCTCAATTCTACAGCCTTGGATTCTTTTTAGAGAGAGAGAGGCTGGATCTCATTCACATTCATTAGAAGAACTATTTATATAAACATATGAAAAAAGATTCAGATATTACAGAGAGAGGAGGTGGGTGGTTGTCAGAATTGTGAGGTGGGTGGGTGGTGGGGATTGGGGGAGGAAGGAGATTCAGATGCTGATAACAAGGCTCAAGAAAACAAAACAAAAATGTCATTCATCATTCATGTCTGCATGCACTTAGTACTATGTATATTTACACATGTGTAGATATAAATACATATAGAAAAACAAGCTGTAATAAAGCTTTCTTCTTCGTTAGGAAATTTTGGTTTTGGGGGTAGGTGGCGGGGTAAAAAGGGTAGGGGGTGGGTAGGGAACAAGGTAAGGTAAGTGGGTTTCAGAGCTTAATTATGAAGCTTGGCAAAGATGCATGGTGGCAGAGGGGAAATGGTGAAAGTCCATCATTGTTTGTTTGTATCTTTTTGAGATTAATTTATTGTAATAAAAGTGAAAAAAATAAAGGCAGTAATTTGAATGACTGGCTTACTTTTTATTTCTTTCACAATAATGTTCTGCTTTCTCTTCTCGATTCGTGAGATGGTTTTATTGCTTCCTTATTTATTCTGAGAGAATACAGGTGGGTCTCAGCCTCTCAGCTTTGGCCTTCTGGAAGAAAAAAGAAAATTGTAAAATAGAGCAAAGTAACCACACAAATTTGAAAAATATCCTCTCTTTTAAGCTTATTTTTTCTTTACATTTAACTATGATCTTTTTTTAATTAAAAAAATCGTAAAATTTTATCCGGGCGAAGCTATATTTTTACAACCTTTCGTCGAAAAATTACACTACATATATAGGTAAATCTCATATTAGCTTTGTTGATTGAGTCTTCATGTCCATTCGTCCTATCGTCCATTGCAAGACTGCAGCAACTTAACTTTGTTGATTGAGTCTTCATGTCCATTCGTCCTATCGTCCATTGCAAGACTGCAACAACTTAGTTTTGTTGATTGAGACTTCGTGTCCATTCGTCTTATCGTCCATTGCAAGACTGCAGCAACTTAACTTTGTTGATTGAGTCTTCATGTCCATTCGTCCTATCGTCCATTGCAAGACTGCAACAACTTAGTTTTGTTGATTCAGACTTCGTGTCCATTCGTCTTATCGTCCATTGCAAGACTGCAGCAACTTAACTTTGTTGATTGAGTCTTCATGTCCATTCGTCCTATCGTCCATTGCAAGACTGCAACAACTTAGTTTTGTTGATTCAGACTTCGTGTCCATTCGTCTTATCGTCCATTGCAAGACTGCAGCAACTTAACTTTGTTGATTGAGTCTTCATGTCCATTCGTCCTATCGTCCATTGCAAGACTGCAACAACTTAGTTTTGTTGATTCAGACTTCGTGTCCATTCGTCTTATCGTCCATTGCAAGACTGCAGCAACTTAACTTTGTTGATTGAGTCTTCATGTCCATACTTGTGCTTGCCATAACTTCTCATTCAAGGGAATGAGCACTAGGTGCTAATACCACCCATTGAATTCGTAGTATATGGCAATGCATGATCACAGTGACTTCTCCCGCAAAAAAGAACACAAGATTAGTATAAAAATTTATCACGATATTCTCCTCCATCATGATTTGAACACGATGATCTAGTGAATACTCCAGACCCCTACTACACCTTTCCTCCTCACTCCTTAGTTTTTGGCAACTTTTACCCCCTCAAGTAAGGACATTGTAATATATACACATTCACAATTCTCCTCCCAATTGTGTCTAGATGATAAGAACTAGGGGTCTTCATGGTTCAGTGTGGGTCAATTTTTCCCTTAAAAGAAACCAAACCAAGTAAGTTGGTTTTTCAAATATTGAAACCAAACCAAATTAGTTAAGTCGGATTTTTATCGATTCGGTTTTTGTCGGTTTTTCGATTTTTTCGGTTATTTATCTATTTTTTTCTTAAATATGAGACATACACTACCAAGCGCATATTTTGGCGACTACATTTTCAACATAACACTATCAAATCAATTGCTCTTTGAGAAGTCTATCATTTACCAAGATATATTAATGATAATTGAATCAAATAGTGATAAATAATTTAAGTACTCGATTAAAAATCGATTATTTTTAACATGAAATAAGTTTTTTTTGTACTTAGCAAAAGAAAACTACCAATCAAACTAGAATGTAAAAGCAAGAATTCGATTACTAAATAGCAAAGAACTAGACTAAAAATATAAATGAGTAATATGTACCGTAAAATTTTAGAAACTTTATATAAAAATATACATATATATTGGTGTAATAATAAATTTGAATAGCTACTTATATAGTGGCTTTGGTTCGTTTTTTCCGGTTATTTTTTTATTAAAACAAAAACCAAAACAATTTGATCGGTTTTTAAAATTCAAAACCAAAACCAAACATAAAAAAGTATCGATTTTTTGGATCGATTTGGTTCGGTTTTCAGTTTGGTTCGATTTTTCCTATTTTTATGAACACCCTAACGAAAACCATGACATTCAATATCCCAAATCCACTGCATAATTTGCCAAATGATCAGCCAGTTTATTCCCTTCTCTAAACGTATGCGACACCCTTCTAAATATTCATCAATGTAAAAAGGAAAACTATAACGAACCAAAAAAAATATTTTTCACAAGAACCTTTCCTTCAAAAAACCCTTTTTAAAAAAATCTCCAAGATGTTGTTCGAACTGCTAATGCTCTTTTTAAAAATAAAATAAAAAACATAATGACCAAGAAAAAGGAGAGAAACGGTAAAAATTAAACTCAAGTATATTTATGAGGAAGAATATCATTGACACTAGACTACAACAGTAGGGTTTGTTTGGTACGCGAGATAAGAAATAATTAATTTTGAGATTAAATTTAAGATTAGTTTATTTTATATTTGGTTGGGATAAATTGAGATATAACTAATTACGAAATTAGTTATTCCGAGATTGTAGTGTAATTTTTATTCTTATGGGACGGTGAGATAACAATTATAGGCTAACTAATCATGCAATAATTAATCATGAAATAACTTATTTCCCAATCAACCGACCCCTTAGTTATTTAATGCTTTCCTTTCTCAATTCATTTGTTTTTTCACGCAATGTTTGTTTACTTTTTCCAAAAAAAAAAAAAAAAACTTTCAATATATACATATGACTATACGAGAATGAAGTTGTATATTCAAAAAATAAGTGCAGACAATTTTTACATAGCAAAGGGTATCAAATGATGATAAATCAACAATGCATTGATTTTAAAGTAGCTACCATTAGACCATCTACTATTTGTATGACGCAATTCGATTACAAGTGATATCAATAATTACTCCTCAAATGTGAAAATAATATATCATATCGTACAAATCGACGCACGTAACAAGACGTACAAATAATTCTTTTTCTTTTGGCATAATAATACTTCTCCCTCTTGTTGCATATGGTATACATACCTTTTTTTTTAAATTCCCTCCTAATTTAGGAGCATCTATAGTGTTTTCACACTTTTCTTTCAGCGTGACTCGAAATTTTACCAACTAAACAAGCCTCACTTGTCATATAGTATACATACAGTTCACAAAAGATATAGCCAATCTAACTTTTTATTATGATATATTATTTTCAAAAGCAGCAAATGTAATTTTAGTATTTTTTGAATTTAGAATATTATTATCTTTATGACGATAGTGTCCGAAGTAGTTTGCGTGTACCTCAATCATTTTATCAGTTATAAGATGAGTTGGAAGATGAATACATATTTCTTATACGGATGAGACAGATCACACATGGTTAATGATAAATTTTGAAGTATCGATTATCTCTCGCCACCACATATAACAGATAACTCTGTTCACTAACAGCTTGTTTGGATGGTTGTTACATCTCGTTTCATAATGTATCGAATTGTATTGTATTATACCGTATCGTTTGATTAATACAATGTTGATAGATCGTATCGTTTGCTGTTGTTTCATGATATCATGCACCAACAATATGAAGAATAAACTGACAATATTATAAAGAAAAATTATAATATGGGGTAAATTTATTATATAAAAAGGTAGAGTAAATGATAAAATAAAATTATTTAATACAATAATGAAGGGTGAGATGAGAGGAAAAAAAAATAAGATAACGACGCAACCACACCAAATCGGTCGTTACATAAAATGACACATTTCGTCGTTACGTAATGACGGACTTAACGATACGATACAATAAAATTTAAGTAACAACCAAAACAAACATCATATTTAAAGTAACAATACGATACAATATGTAACAACTATCCAAACAAGTTGTAAAACTACCTCAGAAAAACCTACTTTTTTTAATCTGCTTATTTATTAATAGTTAGACGTATAATATTTACTGCTTTAATTTCTTCTTCATAAAATTAACTTATTGTTTAACCTTTCATTACTGGCATTGAGGGAAGAAGAAGTTTAATGTTTAATAGTGTTTTTGTCACGATCACAAATTTCCTCCGTAGGATGTCGTGACGGCACCTAATCTTTAAGACTAATAAAGACTAGGTAAGTCTAACAACATGCAAAATAATTGAAATAAATATTAAAAGTCTCAAAACTGCAATAATTATATAAATAAAGTCAGTCACTCAACAGATGTACAATTCCCAAAATCCGGCAAAATATAAGACACAAGCTCTACGAAGTAATACTAAATAACTCTATACAATAATGTCTAAATAAGGAGAAGGAAGTAAAATAATTCAGGTGGAGGGGGACTCCGAGGCCTGCGGACGCTGGCAGGTGTACCTTGAAGTCTTCGCGGTAGAATCCCGACTAATGCCTGGGCTGATAAGAAGAACCTGGATCCGCACAAGAAAAAAATACAAAAGAGTAGCATGAGTATACCACAACGGTACCCAGTAAGTGCCAAGTCTAACCTCGGTAGAGTAGTGGCGAGGTCAGACCAGGGCCCTATTAGAAATAAATAAAAGACTGAACAAAAGTAGGCAGTGAAATAAAGATAGTAATAAAATTGAAACAACAATTAGCACAACAAGATTAGCTACACAGAACTAAGCAAATAGTGCAACACGGATAAAGACACTTAATAATATACTAAAGAAATAATGATCAAAAACGAGTACAAAAGAATGGAAAAATATCAACAAGAGTCACTATCGAGGTACCGCCTCGTAGTCTCAAATCATAACATAAGTCATAGTCTTTCTTTATATCACCGTGGGAGCCTTTGCATTTAGTTTTTGAAAAATTATTTTTTTCCGAAATAGCATCCCACATTTTAGCTCACCTTATCACACCGCATGGCTTCTAGTAGTTCCCCTACTAGCCACGCGTATCAAGCCTACCTTATATCACCACATGCGTCTTAACACCCAGACCTTATACCACCACATGCATATCAATATCACAACGTATCACAAATCGCACCTCAAGTGCTCAGTATCATAATTTCCAGAGAAATCAAACAATAACAAAATTTCACAAAAAGGAGCTCACGGCTCAACCACAATGTACACGAAGTCTCAATAACTAACAACCGGAATAATAACTCAATAGAATGATATCTAACAACTTAACACTTTGCCTCAATAGGAATCACGACCCTTGC